ATTAAGATGTGAAAGTTAGCCAATATGAGGCTAGAAATAATGGGCCAGGCAGTGTTTAAATGAATACAATTTGCATGTTGTTATTTCGGGTGTACGCTAGCTGGGCAGGATGGAACAAGGAGCCCGCCACTCCTCATTACTACATTTGTGTTTGAGGTCAGCCTAGTCTACATGGCAAGTTCCAGACCAGCCCGATGACATAGTGAGACCTTGTATCAAAGCTAAAGAAAAAACTACCATCAACGCTGTGGCCTGAACAGCTTCAGAAACAAAGGCAGCTTCATAGTCTCCTGTCACTCAACGTCCTTCAAAAACACTGCTGCATCTAAGTACTACTCAGGAGAGAGGAGGCATCTGGCTGGCGAAGTGATAAGGACACTCAATAAGAGAAAGGCTGGTTCTGAACTCCTTCCTCTCCCCAAGAGTCCTAGAGGCAGGCAGTGCCGCAGACACACATAGATATATAAACAAACAACAAACTGTTGTTAATACTGTCAACTTGATAGGATCCAGAGTCACCTAGGAAACCAACCCCTGGGCTCGCCAATGAGGGGTTGTCTCTACTAAGTTAATGAGGCTGGGAAACTCTTTAACTGTGGGTAGCATCATTTCACAGGTTGGGGTCCTGGACTAAATAAAGAGGAGAAAGGGGGCCCTGAGCAGATGCTTTCATCTCTCTCTGCTTCCTGCCTGCAGTTGCAATGTGATCAGCTGCTTCCTCCTCGCTGCCAGGCCTTTCCTGCCATGGGGGAAAACAAACCTTTTTTCCTTAAGTCGATTTTGTAAGATACTTTGCTGCAGCAATGAGGTATTACAACTAAAATGGAGAGGAACGAGGACGGGGGACAGGGTACATGGAGGGCACAGACACCAACGAACAGGGACAGTTGGACACGGGGAGAGTGGGCAGAGGGTGGGGGTACAGGGTACGGGGACAGGACGAGGAACAGACACAAAGAAGGTTAGGATAATAATAGTAATTCCTACTTTACGTACAAAGTAAGGGAGACACTGAGCACACAGAAAAGCACTTCGCACAGTACCCAGCACCAGACACATTCATCCATTGCAGCTGGGTTTGCTGCTCTGACTAGGTGACGGGCACTAAGACGGCACATATCTTATCTGATCTTCCTTATATACACTGCTCCCTAGCTGTGTAAGCTCTCAGAAGAACAAATGTTCTGTGGCATCTCCCTCCATACTACCCCTGCTGTGGGTCATGTCCCGTGGTGCTGGGGGCCAGGCTCTGCTCGGAGCCACACCCCTCTGAGGGGCAGCCAGCCACCAGGGCCAGGCTATTGTTGCGGCTAAGATTCTTTCCCCAAATGGAAAGCCACAAATTAGAGAGGAGTTTTGGCCCTGCTCGCAGGAACTGGGGGAGGCCACCAGCGCATCAGGGGCCTCCTTCCAGGTCAGCGTCCCCGCCTGGGTGCAAACCTGGCCCGCTCTCAGCACCACATTCTGGGTACCCCACTTCTCTCTAAGCCTCTTGCCCTCCCTGAGACCCCAGCTCCTGCTGACCTCTGACCTGAGGTTCTCAGGGCTCTTTCACCCCCAGCCCAAACAATGATACCCTCCAGGCTCTGCTCAAATCCCCTCTTTGAAGCTCCCCACCCCATCCAGGCAGAACAAATCGCCCCTGCCCCACCCCCGGTCATCTGCTTTATTCATTTCTCCTTGAGGCAGAGCTGGTCCATCTCTTTCTGTGGTCCCCTTGCCCCACCTCTGCTTCCACCCTCCTGATGAGTCTCTTAAGAGTATGTGACCTCCGTCTGCTGACCTCACAGCACAGGGAAAGTGTCTCCAATGATCGGTGGCCAGCAGCTGAGAATGAGATGGGGGGGGGGGCAAGGAGGAAAGACTTAGGCCACAGGTCGGAGTCTGAGGGCAGCTGCTGGAAAGCCCAAGGAGAGGTCAGATCCAACCACCATTCCCGGGTTGTCATCTGCATTTGACAAGAAGGGCTACCCAGAGAGGTTAGGTTTCGTCGGAGGCCAAGTAGATAGAGTGGAGAGTCAGGATTGGAGTCAAGAGAGGGCTAACGTGTAGACAGCTATGGCCTGGGGCCTGGGGCCGGCTGGGGAGAAGCGTCCTAGAATCTCACTGGTGACAATGCAGGCGTGAGGTCCGAAGCCAGATCTGAAGGCTTCTGGGGCCCTGTCTCACTATTCCCGACACTGACCAGAATTATTCCCAGTCTGCCCGGCAACCCTCTCCTGAAAGGAGCTGCTTCTGACTCAGGCCCATTCCCAGCTCAGGTGTTCCGGGAATGAGGTCTGAAGTCGGATAGAGGAAGGAAACAGCCCTCAGACTTGGCCTCCCGCTCCCCGGGTCTTGGCTAGGGCCGGAAGGAGCCACTTGAAAGATCTCCCTGGGGACCCATGACCAGAGAGAGGCTCTGGCCCTGTTGAGTGCCCTGAGAACTGAGGGCAGCCGGAGAGGGCTGTGGGGCCCCATCCTCTGCAGACAGGAAAATATATGACCTCCCATCCTTCCACTTTTTTCTTCTAGCTCTTTCAGGATCCCTCACCTAGGGTCCACCCATTGGCCCTCTCCTATGCGCTCCTGCTCAGGCTGTGTGCTCCTGGGTCTGTCCCGGACACTTTGTCCACTGGCATTCTGACATGGAGCATTGACACTTCTGACTCTCAGACCCTCACCTCCCCTAACTGAAGACCCCCCCCCCCAGAACATAGCTATGGCATTACTCAATGACTAAGGCCCCCTGAGTCTCTGCTCTCTGACTGAGTACCAAAGGGGAGCCAGGTTAGGTTCAGAAGTATGGAAAACAAGATATCCAATCAGGATGACCACCATGTTATCTCCCTGAGTTCCCCTTCTTACTGTAGTCCTTGATCCCCAGAACACAGCTGTGAAGGGACTCCCTCACCTCACA